TGAGCAAGAACTGGGCAACAGTAGGGAGGAAGAACTCCATTTGAACACAAAGAGACCTCCAGCATCCTGTTGTAACTGGTTGAGTGGTGAGGGGATAAAGATGCCAGAGTCTGCTTTTTATATGATGCTGGCTTTAAATTTTAAAATGAGAATCTATGGAAGAGCAATGGCAGTGTCACAACTGAAAGCATGACCCCAGGTAAAGACATCAGCAGGATTTTTGCGTTATTCACAATTTAACTACAAAAAAAATGTAAAAAAAATTCCTGGCGGTAAAAAGCCCACAAGAGTCTTTATCAAGCTACCAGAACAGCAAATTTAAAAACGTGAAAAGCATCTTTTACACTGCTTTCTTTGTAAAAGTCACAAATACGTCATCCACTCGTCTTTCTCAACAGCTTTTTTGTTTAATTTCATATTTTTGGCAGATGTTTGAATAAAAATCCCTAAATTCAGATATGGATGGTCTTTTGGCACCAATGTGCCCAACATTGATTTTAATCACTAAAGAGTTTATTAATAATCACAGAAACCCTTTTTTTTTCGTAAGAGGAGAAACACCCTTCCAAAGGTCTTCTCCATGCAGTATCTGACAAACTTGAATAGTCATGAATACTTTATGCATACGTGACTTTAACAACAGCATTTTCCTTTTGTCGTCCACCTATTTAGCAATAATTTTAAAAGTGAAACACAAGAACAACACTGCATTTGGAAATTCTTAGTCTTTTCAGCACAGCTATTTCCATTATTGGGTTACTCTTAACTCAGAGTTGGTATATACTAAACTTGTTGAAGAGGACCAGTACAGCATGAAAAATTGTTGTTGTTGTTTTTAGAAGTGGCAAAACGTACTTAAAAAAAAGCTGCCTTTATGCAAATGGACAGCTTGTTTAGTATAAATTTGGCAGATTTCTTAAAATTGCAGCCATCCTCTCTCTTTCTAGCAGAAATACATGCATACAGAGATACATGCACTGTAAGTAGGAGCACAAAGTGGCCTCTACTACATTTATATATAATTATTTTGCACATTTTGACCATAGCATATGTCTGCATTTATCCCATCTCCATCTTAACAGGTGGGCAAATCGAACAAAACGTTGTGTGATGTCACACACACACACACAACAATTATTCACAAATAGATAGATAGAGAGAGATTTTAGAGATTTGTTATAAATCCATTTATTTTTCCTTTTGTATATACTATGTTTATTTCATCATTTCCTTGCACATGCAAAGCCAGTAATACATCATGCATTCATCTTTCTCAATATCTTGTCTTTTATTTCAGTCTTTTTGGCATGTGATTTAATGAACTGTCTGAAATTGGATTAAAATTGTCTTTTTATTGTTGTGCCTCATTATTGTGTTGTTTTTAACTGTTAGAATTATGAATATTGCATGTATGTCTGAATTATCATTCTCTGTTTTAAATGTATTTTGAAAATAATTATTTTTAAACTCTAAATTTGGAAATTGTATGTTCTTTTCATGACAGACGTTCCTATTATGGGGTTGCTCTTAACTCTCATAGTCTGTATATAATTAACTAAGTTAAAAGGACCAGTTCAGCTAGGAAAAACAATGCCATTTATTAGTTGTGGAGAAATATACCTCCATACACATTTAAATAAAGGCATAGAGCACATTTTCAAGAATACTATGACGTGAAAGTCACAAATCTCTCCTTGAATTGAATATTTATGGTTTTAAGTACATTTGTTTCTACTTTTTATTTCACTTTTTACTCTTAAAGATAAGGTCATTACAGAGCACCAGCTTGGAGAAACATACCTCCACAAGCATTTATGATGCAGGACACAAGCTGATAGAACGCACCAAAAAATTTACCAAGTTTATGAGGTCAATGCATGAAAAAGATTATACCACTGTTTTTAGACGTCTTTAATTTAGGAATAGTCTGATGTAAAAGTCGCAAATACATTGCCATAGCCCCACGTTTGGAGCTATGGCAATTACATAATCTTTGACAATACAATAAAATCTAAAATAAAACCAATAAAGTTGTTCCATAATACTTTAAGTGTCGCCGGAGTCTTCATGTCATCAGATCTTTGTCTTCTTCATGCACCTTGGAATTAGGTGAAGTTGTGCCAGAAAAATTTGTTAAGTAAGAACAGTTTCATTAACAAAAGTACTGGTTCAGTACATGGTATTAGCAGAAAGTTGGTGCCTGTGTATCGGTACTGGAAAAAGTACACTAATTACAACAAAGTGAGCCTACGTCAGATGCATTCAAAGGTGTTTATATGGAGCATTTTTATTCTGTTTGGGCTTTTAATCCCATTAAAGTCTGAAAATTAGAGTCCAGGTAAACATAGATATGAAGGGGAAAATTACAGGTAGAAATGCTTTTACCCAGATGAGATATCTGTGCATTCAAAGAACTACTTATTGTCATTTTTTGTCCTTAATTAAGAAAAACAGTTAAGAGGGTTTTCAGATGCAGACAGTTTGTGAGAGTTTTTTCACAGCGAAACATGAAAGTGTCACAAAAAGAGACTGATTTGTTGATGTACAAGGACACAAATTATAGGGATTTTTTGTGGTAGGTCGCACAACTTTATAAGCAATGTATTTCAATAGATGGTATATTTCGTGTTTGCATTGTGTTCGCATTAAGACCCTTCAGCAGTGACATGTCCCAATAGCAAAATAAAAATTAAAAAAAGCTATAAAAGAGGAAGCAACGGTTGTATTTGAACCCAAGCCATGATCTTTTTCTAAACTTGTACAGTAGCTTTTAGTACCTAAACCTATACCTGAGTATTGTGAAAATCTTTAGCCACCCCTTATTTCTTTATATTTTGCTTCAGATGAGCCAGACTTTGCTATTTTTTAAAGCTAGAACAATAGTTCTCCGGGCTTTCTGGAGGTCTCCCAAAGTTTTTCTTTGGGCATTTACTGTTTTTTTTCCCCCACTGGGGTTCAGTCCAGTCATAGTTTTTCCTTATTTTTTTTAGTCGAATCTATGAAAAATGCCAACAATAACACAGACTGACAGGTTCAAAAAGTAACAAACTGATTCCCAAAGAGCTATTAGCTGGTTTATCTCAGTATGATGTGCAGCATGTCCTTAAAATAAATCTGAGGAAACTGAACAAGTAGAGGACACAAGAAGACTTGGAAGGCCTACAGCAGATGAACAGTATGTTAAAGTCATGTTCTTATGCAAAATCACAAAAGGGCTGCCTGGAAAATCAGTTGTAACGGGTCTTACGGAGTGATGAATCCAAATTTGACATTTTTGTTTCAAATTGTTGCCAGTATGTAAAGACAGGTACAACTGTGAGTGGTTCTATCATGGTTTTGGACTAGATTTCAGCCACTGATGTGGGAAATCTTGTCAAAACTGATGGTAAAATAAGTATGAATGCAGAGAAGTCTGATTTTGATGCACCAATGATCCCAAACACACTGCCAGTGCACTAAAAGAAAACAAAATGCTACACTGTCAGTCATGGATTGGCCTCCCCGGAGCCTGGACCTCATAATAACTAAGAACAGAACCAAAGGCATCCAACATCCAAAGAAAAGCTTTGAATGTCCTTCAAGAATCCTGGAGAACTATTCCAGAAGACTACTTAAAGAAATGACAAGAACGCTACCTAAGAGAGTTCAGACTGTGTTGAAGACTAAAGGTGGTCACACCAGATATTGACATTCAAGCCCAGCAGAACTGTACAGGTCCATTTTTATATACTGTATCTTCATTTATGTTTGCACACATTTCCCATTTCCTAGAAAAGTATACAGAAATGAGGGGCCGCTAAAGACTTTTCTATTGCCTTTCACCTTTTTAAAGTGGAAAACATTAATCTGCCGTACACCGACACAAATCAGTACATGAGTACAGTACATGAAACACTAATCAATAGATTAAAGGTTGCAACTAATTCATAAACTGCTGCGAGACTGCGCTGAAGATGTTCAATATGAAGGTTTTTTAGTGAATTTCCATCTATATTTACAGCTGTCCAGTTTCATGAAAGTGAAGAGCTACCAGCACAAAGCACCTTCTATTTGCTAAGCATAAACCTGCAACACCACAAAGGTTAGACACGCTGTCCTGACCCATAAGATATCCACCGCTGGCTAGATTAAACCCATTAATTCTCAGCACAGCACTTAAATCTTGCTGTAGCTCCTGCCTGCTGGATTTGGCTAAGGAAAGCTTCAGGGATAAATGAGCCATATTGTCCTGCAGCAGCCTTCAAAGTTGACAGCCACATAGCCTGAATGACAAGACTTTTTTACCCACCCGAAGCCGGAGGAAGATGACAACCGCTTGTGTACACAACCAAAACAACCTAAACGTTAGATAATAGCCAATTAGCCTGGTGGACATTAGCTGGGGCTGCTCATCAACTGAGCCAAATGTTGGTTTAATAACCATTAGCTCGAACTCCATCGTGTGAGGGGCCTCCGCATTAAGAGGGGACCGTGTCAACAAGCGGGATCAGTCCTGTCTGACTGCCTTTTTGATGCACTGGACACAGCATCTGAACTAGCTGGGGGGTTAGCCTGCCAAGCGTCAGCTGTCTAGCTGCCGTTAGCTTAGCTAGCTTGTTGTAACGAAAATGAATTAGGACGAGCTCGGCTACGCTAATAACGTTTTAGCATTTAATTGGAACCGCGGAGCTGGGTTCGTGCATGCCGGGGACCAGCAGGCCCGGGGTTCCGACTTCATATTGTCGAAGTAAAAAAAAAAAAAAGAGAGAGAGAGAGAAGAAGCAGCTAGGCCCGGCCGTTGAGGTTTCGAGCCAAAGGGGGAGGGGGGCAGGCAAGGCCAGGGGTAAGGCCGAGTTAGCACGGGTTAGCTTAGCATGCTAGCTAACAGCCGTGCAAGCCCGTTGCGTTTGCAGAGGGGAGAGCGAAGAAGAAGAAGAGAGAGAGAGGGAGAGAGAGAGACGCTTTTCAGGCACTAACGTTTCTGTCTGCGTCAAATCAAACCGTAAACTATCCGTTCTTACCCGGGCATCCCGGCGAATGCGTACCGGAGCCGAAACAGCGAAACGGGCGAGCAACAGTGCGTCTGCAAGCTTAGGAAAAATAAGAATAAGCAGCCTACCCATTAGTTCTCTGCCTCTGCTGGTTCTCCTACACTGGGATATTGGAAATGATGGAGAGCCGCACTGCGCATGCGCCGAGCTCAACCAGCCAGCAGATGGGAGAGGTGATGCACGTTTCCTCACATACACGAGCTCTGCATGGCCAAAAGGGGAAAAAAGAAAGGGGAAAAAGTTAGGGGTAACCTGGATGTGAGGGTTGGGGTGGGGCCTCACACTGAGCCACAGCCTGAACCAGCGGGTCCCACATTGAGGCCTGAGGGGCCTCCAGGGACCCCTGAGGCAGAATTGGCTGCAAAACTATTTTATCCCTTTTTCCACATATTTGACTTTAATCCTGGGAGATATAGAACTGGTTTTATTTTTTATTATTTTATTTTTATTATTTATTCTTTTTTTTCCTAAAGACTATGGAAACGTTTCACAGTACATTACAAATGTACTGTGGGTCATTGAGGTCATCCTGTATACACTCATACACTCATGTATACACTCATCCACCAAAAATAAATACAAAACAAAAAATATACTGATCATTTGCTGCCAATATATTATCATTTTTTATATAATGTAAGTTTCTGTAAAAAAGGTAAAATTCAATAAATTCAATGTGTGGTTAAAAATACAGAAACACATGTAAAAATGATACTAAAAGTTACTTCATTATTGTGTCATTTTCCTGATTTTTTTTTTAAGCTTTCTTCTGCCAGTAAAAGAGTGGATATTTTTTGCCATCCAAAAGCCTCAAAATTTCAAGGTGATAATTCAAAATTTTGATTTATGTTATTCAAAAATTTCAGCTAATAATTTAAAATTCCAAGATAACATATCTTAAAAACCTTTAGTTACTTCTGAGCAAGTTGAAATTTTGAAATAATCCCGTCAGTAACATGACATTTTAAAATACCTAATGTGAAATTTGGGGTTCAGAATGCAAGTATTCAAATTATGTATCTCAAAATTTGGTCTTAATAAATCAAAATCTCAAGATTTTTATTTTAACATTAAGACATAAAATTACAAACTGAAAACTTATCTAACAACTTCACTCAAATCAACTTAAAATTTTGATTTATGTATCTCAAAATTTTACATGTCTCGAGTTATGCATCTCAAAATTTTAAGCTTGAAATAACTTGAAATTTCAAGATACCTCTGTGTTTTGAGATACTCACTAACAACTTATGAAAACTTTGTGAAATTCTGAGTTAGGTATCTCGAAATTTGGAGTTACTCAGAAGTAAGAAGTTTCAAGATGGTCAGTAATTTAACAGTTTCAAACTTAAACTTACCAGTGCTGGAAACAACCTTCCATACTAAACAACTCCCTGCTTTCACTTTCATTCTGTTGGATTTGAGATGCATTGTGGGGTTGTTTTTTTTTCATTTTCCTACTGTATTTTGAATAGATTGTTGCTTTTATTTGGAGATTGACAAAAAGACCATTAATTTCTTTTATTATTATTTATTATTAACAATTTTGCTTCTCTTTTTTAAATCCTTTGGAGTTTGTTTTTGTCTTCCCACATGATTTTCATGGTTTTTGGTCACTATGTTTTGTGCTTCTTACATTTTTTCCTCACTTCCTCGGTATCTTACCATACTAATATACTTTTTTACACTATAGATCACTGGAATTAGATAAAGACTTTAACCTAAAGACCTCATGGAAATCACACACACAAGTATTTCTGCTTGCTGTTCAATTAAAAAAAGTACATAAATTTTTTTTTGCTGATCTATATTTTTCTCTCTTTTTTTTATATCATTTCTTGTTATTACAGTTGGGACCATAGACACTGTTCATTTCAATGTTTAATAACATTTATTTAAATAAATATGAAGTGGAAAAAGCTTTTAATCACAAGATTTTGTTTTCCCAAAAATGGAACATTGTACTCAATTGTATTCAATTGTTATGTATTTGACAGTTGTAACTTGATACTTTAATGTGCATAGCAAAGTCATAAAATCAAATCAAATTGATGATTATTGAATATTAATTAATAAAACTAGTAATATATGTTGACTACAGTGACACTACATATCATAGTTTCAAGTTATAAGGCTTTTAGTCCATTTTCCACCAATACATCATTGAGTTGACCTTGAAGACCTTGGTGGATGTAAGCCAAATTTGAATGGATTGTTAACATGACCCCACTCTACACTCATACAAAGTTTTATCAGAATTCATTTTACAACTTTTGAAGTTATTGTGTTTACAGACAGGATGGTGATATGCACACACACAAATCCTACTAAAAACATAACCTTGGTAACAAAATACATCTGATTTTTTTGTTTTACAAATAAATAATGTTGAATTTACTTGCAGAAAAATGACTTAGAGGCAACTTGTTAGTAATAACACTGTTTTGACTGTGGCATGATTATATTAAGTACTAAAACAAACCTTAACAATTAGTTATATAAATTTCATATACAGCTTTCACTCTTTCTGTCAGTTTGGACGCATTCACAACACAAACACCCCAACGAGGTTTTCATAGAGATGTTTACTGGGTATCAAGATGTCAAGTCAGCTGACTTTGCAAAGCAAAACTGAAACTACTAAAAATGAAACTAAAACTAGACAATTTTAAACAATAATCAATATGCCAACCAAGACAAGACACTTGTTATAACCAAGGAAGGCTGCCATTGCAGTGCAGTCATCAGCACTGTCACCTCACAAGAGGCTCCTAGGTTGGATTCATCCAGTGGACTGGATGCAAACTCCTTTCTTCAAAGTCCATAAACATGTATGGGGTTAGGTTAGTTGTTTAAGTCTAATTAATTGACTTTAAGCGAGGACTGACAGGCTGCACTTTGTCTTTGACTGAAGATGGGTAGGCTGTGGTCATTTCTGATGAGCTGTAACCTCAGTTTCCTGTTCTTAGCAGGGTCACCTGCTATGATCTTCTGCTGCCGTAGACCATCTGCATCAACATTCAGTGTGTTGCCTGTTCAGAGATGCTCTTCTGTATACTTTGATTACATCTGTCCACTTTCTTCCACTAATACAATTCAGGATCAAGCCAGAATTTGGTGTAAACAACATAAAGCATGACTCCATCCTGCCTTGTATCAACAGTTCAGGCTGGTGTTGGATGTGTAACGGTGTGGGGAATATTTTCTTGGCACTCTTTTGGTCCTTAGTACCACCTGAGCATCATTGAAACTCTACAGCCTACCTGAGAGTTGTTGCTGAGCATGTCCATCCCTTTATGACCACAGTGTACCATCTTCTGATGGCTGCTTTCAGCATAATAACACACCATGTCACAAAGCTCAGATCATCACAAACTGGTTTCTTGAACATGACAATGAGTTCACTGAGTTCACTGTACTCAGATGGCCTCCACAGTCACCAGATCTCAGTCCAGTAGAGCCCATTTGGGATGTGGTGGAACAGCAGATTCACGTCATGGATGTGCAGCCAACAAATCTGCAGCAACTGTGTGATGCTGTCATGTCAACATGGACCAGAATCTCAGAGGAATGATTCCATCACCTTTTTGAATCTGCAAAGAAGAATCAAGACAAGGCAAAAGGATTTTTGTGATTCTTTTCCTCTTTGGAGCTAAAAGAGGCCACCCAAACATATGAGATATCAGTGGAAAGCCCAGGATGTCCTTTATTTAGTACATCAGGACTTTAAGAATTTCAAATCACTCAAAAGATATAAACCAAAAACAAATGTCCGTTACAGAGGACATAAATGAATAGGCTGGTTCTCAGGAGGACATGACTGGCTCACATCAGAAACAATAGAAATGAACACAGTGATCTTTAAGTTCTCCTGACTTAATCTGCAAAATAGTTTGAGTTCATGCCAAATAATCACTTTGATTAATTCTAAAAGTTATAAAAAGTGACAGGAAATTAATTTAGTACAACTGTTGTTTTCCTTTTTGGGGGCTAGGGGGAAGGGGTCATTGTTGCAGAAGGTAAGCTAACATAAAGACCTCTTACAGAAGTTTTAACTTTTGTAACGTTATCATTACCATGTCTTACTTTGTCAAAAAATAAAAGGTGGTCTTTACATATTAAGCATAATGTACTAAAATGATCAGAAGCCAATGGCTACATATTGAAACTCAGAATATGTGGACTCACAGGGTTAGAAAACAAGTCACCACCTAATTAAAAACAATCCCATTACCAGTTACTTTGCTAATACCTTACAGGTATTTTGTTAAACACTGTCTATGAAGTGTAATTTGATAAGTGTTTAACACCATAAGCTACAAACTGCAATGATAATGATTAATTACAAGAACATATTTTAGCAGAAAGTAAACAGTTCATATTTATGAACAAGATGACACTCATTAAGGTTAATTTTGACTGGCTGCGTGCAAAAAAAACAAAAAAAAAATACAACACAAAGTGGCAGTGGAGCAAAAACAGACACTCAGCAAAATAATTTCCTGAGATAAATAAAGGTCATAAAAGCTGAAGAAAACATGAGCTCAGCCGTCTGAAGCGAGGACGAGATGCAGCTCAGGGTGCAAACCCCTGAATTTTGTGTGAAGGTCAAACCCGAGGAGACGTTAAATGAATTCAGTGTAGGGCTGCTGAAGGAAGGAGCGCTTCATGTATTTTTAAGGGCAAACACAGAGGGCTGAATGTGCGAGCGGAGGGTCGTATTTTAGAATAATGTGACAGGCTAAATGTGAGCGGAGAGAGGGAGACGATTTGCGAGATATCTGGCGGTTTGCTGTGTCTTTTTTTCCCCCTTTTCATCAGTCAACCAAAAAGCCGCAGGAAGCGTTTAAGTGTCTCCAGAGCTTCAGTGAGTAAAAGATGCTGTTATGCAGGCGGCCTTTTAGACATATACATGAGCCATCCCTCCTAATTTGATCAAACCAGAGCAGAAGTGGCTGTTATAGTTTCACAAATAAATATATATATAATAACACATAATTGTAGTCTTTCTCAGTGCCGACAGACTATTTCTTATATATCTTACTATAACACATAAAATCTGTCTGTGTGTTCATTTCTTTATCCACCGACTCCTCCTACATGATCACAAGCAGCACAACCAAACTTGGCACACAAGTATGTCTTAGGCTCCTGAAGGCTCTTATCTATGTCAAATGTTATAATGCCATCATGTTGCCTAGCAACCACCTATAACAACTGGCCAAAATGACTTGTTTTTAGCATTTATGCAGATGTAAAATCTCTTAAGAGCATCCTGCTATTTTAATTTCACAAAAATAACATAAAAAGTAATCTACAAAACTTGAATTGTGAATGATATATATAATATCATATTGTTTTCATTTCATAGCCAGTAAATGCTGTAGAACGGAAATGCACAGGATCAAATTCAACAATAAAATGTATATAAAATTCAACAAATAAAATCATATTCATGTAAAATTCATGAAAAGCATAAAAAGACATTTTTTTAACTCTTGCCCTCAAGACAAGGATGTGTCATTTGTTATAATAACAAATTAAAAATATTGTATTTTAAATTGAAATGAAAAATAAAACAATATTTTGTCATTTTAATATTTTTAAACAAGTTCAAAAATCTGTACACACCTGAATGGGTAATTCAAATATTCACATTCAAATATAACCTCTGTGCAATGTCCTCTTTACTGCTGATACAGTTATTAAATCACAACGTGACTTAAATTGTTGTGGATTTATGTTAATATTATTGATGTATTTGAATAGCTTTGTGCTTACATAGTTTCAAATGTAAATCTGTACTTGAGACCATTTCTGATGAGGCTTCAGTGAACAGTAGATGAATCAGTAGAATCATCTTTGTTAGTACAAAAATACTGTTTAATGTCTGTCAAACTGTGTTATCTTTGACATTTTTCATTGATCCAACTAAAGACATTAGAACAAATGATGTGTTTTGTGGTTGCACAACAGTGGTTCAGTCTTTTTTATGCTTGAATGATTCATAGTGGTTTAACAAGCAAAAGATTGGTCAGGGACAAGGACTGAGCAGAAAATAAGTGAAAAGGCAGCCAGTGTCCAAAGAAAAACGTTCAAAGACCTTCAGGAAGCCTCAAGAACTATTGCCCAAGACCACTTTAAAAACAATACAACAAAGCCTGTCTGCTTGGTAACAAAATATAAAGAAACAATTGTTGACTTTTGCACATTACTATATGTCATGTTTTTTTTTTTAAATCATTTTTTATTTGGTGGTTTTGTGCGTGTGGTTGTGTGTGTGTGTGAATAATATAATTCCACAACCACAGCGTTTCTCTTATGCGTTGCTCTGAGTCACAGCCAATCAGAAAGCAGATATAGTCAAAGCCGGAAGTCGTCATCGCTGGCAGAGGAGTATTCCCGCGAAGATTGAGGCGTCTCTTCGTTGCTCCCGGTATGTTTGTTCTGATGTGTGTGTGAAAAGAAGCTCGGCTAGCTGACACCTGTCTTACACAACGGTAGAAGTAATCAAAGTTAGAAATGGAAAACATTCGTGCTTCTTCAGCGCACTTTTAGCGAGCAGATCTTCGAGTAAAGCCGTGGGTTGCGTCGCAAGCGTGTAGCACCGAAGTTCTGTTGTAAAAATGACAATTTTGTGTTCTCCTGACTTGTCGGCCGATATGATCTCAGCCTTGAATGCAGTCCGAGACGGATTCTCACACTTATGAGTCGCTTTCTAATTCGGCATACATAAAATCTATTTAGACATTCATTTTTTGACCAAATTGTAAGATAAGCAGTCAAAGGCAGCTATGAGATTAGACTGGTATCGTTGCATCAGCTGCATGCCGAATTGAAGTGTTTTATCCTCACCTGTTATCGACCCTAACATTGGTTACAGCACAACTGTAAACATGTCCTGAAGTGATGCTATTTCGCTTTGGTGATTATTAGTCTTACGTTTGGCGTAAACTTAAAAAAAAGGGGGGAAAAGAGTTATTTATTGGAATTAAAACAGTTGTTTCCACCATGTTAGTGCATTTAATTGACACCTAACGGCAATGTAAAGTGTCAGTATTATCCCGCTGAAAATGAATTTAGTGGCATGTTGAAGTTGACCTGTTTTCCCACTTTTTCACGTTTTGCAGTTGACAGTCACATCATCATGAGTAAGAGGAAGGCCAGAGATGCTCATCTGCCTATAGGGGAATGCATCACACAGGTGTGTGTATGAACAGCTAGTGAGTTTTTCAGTGTCATACTCTGAAATATACCTAATAAAATGTAGTTTATTTATAATACATGTTTCTGTGCAGGTTCAGCAGATTTTAAGGGAGCGGTTTTGTGAGAGGCGGCTCCCTGACAGACCAGAGGGAGTAGAAGCTCAGTACAAGTAAGTTCATAACAACAGGGGCTGTGGATAGAGGTGATTTTATAATAACGTCAACACATTTACCAAAAAGAATCATATCATAGTATTATTGAAAAAGAGTTTACAAGAAAATCACAGAGAAAATCAGAACGTTAAATCCAAACAAAGTTGGATATTAAAATAAGAAACAAGACAATCAGTGCGAGAA